CCGGAAAATTCAAACTTCGTTGGAAATTTCGCCGGAATCTGGAAATGTCCCAGAAATTTCCAGAAAAAATTTTCGCCAAAAATTTCTAAAAAAATTTTTCTCACTCCCAGAACACTCCTAAACTTTTCTTAGCTTCCTAAACGCCTCCTTTTCTCTCAAATCAGTAGCTTTGCTTACTGTTTTCTGTGTGTTCAGCATTGTTCCAGAGGGTCCCTTTTATAGGGATTGATCAGGAGTTCCTGATCAATCCCAATTCCTCCTTGGACGGGGATTCAATCTTTGAATCCAATTGGACTCTTTTGATTGAATCCCCACTCCTAGTAGGATTCTTCAACATTTAATCTTAGCCATCCAAAAAAAAGAAAATAAGAAATAATAATAATAATCGGATAAAAAAAGAATCAGATAAATGAATAAAATAAAATTAACAGATAATTATATAAATATTTACAGAAAAAAAAAGAAGAGAAAAAAATATATATATACATATATAAAATAATAATAAAATAATAAAATTAAATTAAAAAATAAAAATAAAATGAAAAGAAAAGAAAGAAAGAAAAAAATGTACAGACTTACCCATTTGGACCAGGCCCAATTGATCCGGGTTTGGATCAAATTGGGTGTCTACACCGACAAATAATTTCACACAAACTCAATCACTTGTTTTTTTTTATTATTATTATTTTTTATTTTGTTTTCATTAATCCAATAATTAAAACCCCGTAGAGGTTGGGGTGTCTACACCATTCAATCAGTCAATTGATCTTATTCTTTTAGGGTACTTTTGCTTGCTGCAGTTGTTGGGGAGGGAGGGAGGGAACGGCAGCTGAAAAGCAAAAAAGTTAGCTCACATGTTTGACAACTCCATGTCCATGGTGGGTCATAGTGAAATTCTTATATGGAGATTTCCTGCCTTTCTGCAGGTTACTATATGTTGTACATGTCCTGTGGATTCATAGATTTGAGGTCTTTACTAATCTATCTCAAATTCTCTTTCGTGAAACTGAATGGAAACGATGCATTGGTCGGTACATTCAACTATTCATTATTCTTTTGCTTCTCTCTCTCTCTCTCTTTCCCTTCTCCAGAGTTTAGCCATTGTTAGCTGGAAAGAAGAGGTTTTATAGCTGATTTATCCTCATGTAATTATCTGTCTGGAGCAGCATACTTCTCATTCTTTTCATAAAAAAACTATTTCCTTTTTGAATCTACAAGCTTTGAATTTCCTGTACTTCCATCACTTTTTTTGTCATGTAGTAACCCACCATAATTCGATTCAAATTAAATTAATCAACTCTTTGAATAGATTAATGTTGCAGGAACAAGAATAAATTCACAGATAACTGTTTTAATGCAACATTCCACATGAACACCACGCCATGGACTTGTACGATTCATGTATTAAGGTTGAAAATGCATGTGACCCACGAAGATGTTTCCATAATTTTATTCTTTCTTTCTGATAAATCTTAGGTGGCTCCTCTTAGGCATGTGCATTTGGTCTTCTTTTCACAATCCCTTTTTTTAACAGTGTTTCTTAACCAGTGTTTGATATGAAATTCAAGGGGGGTAAAGAAGAATGATTCGAGGCAACCAATGCTAAAGCAACTCAAATTTTCAGCAAATGCAAAACAGTGCTGAGGACTGAAAACTTGTAACCAAAGACAAAATTACTATAAAGAAAGAATCCTCGAGATACAGAGAAGATATTGACTTGTCTTTTCAAGTTTCTTCACCATTAAAAATTGCTTTACGCAAACTTATAAATGTCAATCTCTTCAGCTTAATCCATCTTTGTCTCATTGTAAACAAATTGTTTACTGGCTAAACAACAGAAATTGTGTTTACATTGAACCAATAACTTTTATCCAATAATACATGTTCAATCCACTTATTTGAACCGTACATGAAAAATGTGCTGGAACTTTTGGAAATTTTCATTCTTGAAAATTTTTTTCTAACCATGCGCACGTAAAGGATTCTAGTATGTACATCAAAATTGAATAACATTCATAAAATGTTTTTTTTCTGTAGTTTTCATTTTTCAAAGTTCCTTATTTCAAAAACCATACTTGAAGTTGTTGATTCCCTAATAAAATTTTAATATTTTTAAATACGCAATTTATATTTTAAAAAAATACAAAAAATTAATAAAATATGATTGTTAATAAAATATTAAACTTTTAATTTTAATAATAAAAAATTAAATCCTAACAACTTCAAATAAAAAAATACAAGGAAAAAATTTTAACCCTTTACCTAAAGTTATCTTGTTTTGAAAAGAACAAATTATTCACCAAGGTTTAACATGGTATTAAAATTAAGGCGTCGTTTGTTTTATGAAAAATCATTTTCGAAAAATCATTTTCACATTTTTAAGTATTTGTTTGATGAAAAACTAATTGATCAACGAAAAATAACTTTTTGATCAATAAAAAATAATATTATTTTTTTAAAAAAATTATCTTACGGATTTGAAAAAAAAAATATATTTTTTTAAAAAAATTATTTATTAATATTTTTAGTATAATTTTACTTATAAAAAATATTATATTAATAAATAATAATATTATAGTAATAAATAATATACTAATAAATATTATTAATTTAATTAATAAATATTATATTAATATATTAATAAATAATATAAAGAATAAAATTTGTTTTATTTTAAGTATTTTCTATATTAACATAATATTTTAATATTAAATATTATTATTAAAATATAATTATTTTAAATTTTAATAATTTTAATGATAAATTATTTTAATATATTTTAATAATAAATAATTTTTAATATTTTAATAATTATATTAATATTATTGGAAAAAAAGGACAAATTTTTTAAAAAATAACTAAATAACGAAAAATATTTTTTATTAACTCATCTAAATAACAAAAAATCCTTTTAAATTTAAAAAATATAAATACTTATTAAAAATTATTTTTTAAAAATAATTTTTTGTGAAACAAACAAAATCTAAAAAAAAACAGGTCCCAGGAGAAGAGTCGAAAGCCAATAATCTGTGATTATAGGAGGAAAGAAAGGGATGGTTGATCTTTTTTGCCATAAACCACAACATTGTTTCAGGTTTTTCATTTTTAACTTGTTTTTGATCGGACATGAATATTTTGCATCCAAGAACCGAATCTTGTTCCATTAAGTCAAAGTTATCATTCAATTTACAATGTGATGGAATCAGTTTCATTGAAATAAGGAAAAGCGCGCAGTGAGAAAGGTAAGATAATTGGAAAAGATTTAATTTTAATGGAATTGAATTTGCCTTGGTTGGCAAGGCAACGCGATCAGCGGTGGACACAGGCCAGCAATGTTGGAGAATAAAAGAGTGTAAACGTGCAAGTCAAAGAAACAAGAGAACATGCTTTTCTTTTGTCAACGGTCAAAACCCCCATGTCAACAGCTGACAAGAACGCATGCGTGCATCCCTTGTTCTCTTTCACCTCGTTTCATTCTCTCACTCTATCAAATTTTCAATAATCAATGTCATGTTGGCACTACTAATAACGTAAATCATAACCCAACTTTTTTTTTTCTTTCCTCCAGAAAAAATAATTTAGTGACTAATAAGTAAATTAAGTCATTGTATTCCTCATATCAATACATGGTATTTTGTATTTGTAAGTATATAAACATGAAAATTAACTATAATAAGATCTATTCATATGTATATATATATATATATATATATTCATGCACGCTAGGTTATATCTGGTCGTTAACCTTAGGTCAATTTTTTTTTTGTTGGAATAACATATAGTCTTAAGTCTACAAGAAAATTACTGACGGGTGATGGTGAGATATTAAAAGAATAGAAAGGAAGAAAATTTGGTGTCATAGAGATAACTTGAAGGGGCAACCAACTGGAGAATTGGGTACAAACATATTGTTACCGGTGGGGGCAGGATGTCTCATCTCATCTGGTAGGAGAAATTACTTCAGCTTTACGTTTTTATACTTTGGTGCACTTCAACCAAACCCTACATACAGTGGATCCAATTTCCATCTGCCACCACAGTTTGGTCGAAAATAGTCACCTGTTTTTACACATAAATAATGGAGTTTCATGTTCCCATCCCATATCTTTGCGTGTTCTAATTCTATACAAAATTTTCATCTATAACAGCAAAATATCAATCCCACCCTGTACATCTTGTTTCTTCAAAACTTTTTCATGCAATCAAAATAAGAGACAGCATAAATGAATCAAACTACTTCTCTAGCTATTCTCGTGTATATCTAATTTGTGTACATTAGCAAATTTCAGTACCAAATTCAGAATTTCTTTTATTGTTCACTCATAATATATATAAAAAATTATCGATGAATTTATTAATTTTATTTACAGAAAATGTGTTCAAAAAAATTTTTGAGATGTTCAGAGAAAGTTTGTACTTCAAAATTTTTTATTTTTTAATCTCTGGGCTGTCTATAAGCACTCTACTGCCCATTTGAATCTGCCTCTAACAAACTTCAAGCAACACAACAAAGTTTTCACTGTCCAGTAATTTAGTTAACTTAAGCATATTTTTAAAGATATTCTTTGGAGCAGTATATCTCTTTATGGAGTATTTGGCTTCTGGATTATTGAAAACTTACTCAATTTCATTGAGTCGTTGTGACAAATAGGCATAAAAATGTCCAAGAAAATTTGCATATTTTTATTCACAATGAACATGTCATGATCACATCATGTTCCATGCCATGGTTGTGTTTATCTGAAATGTTTTATATCCACCAAAGCAAATTGAAGGCGTGGAGAATGTTATTGTCAATCAAATGATGATGTCATGTTGATCTTTTAGCACTTATTTGTCTTAATCTGCAATCCACATAATCTTTAATTAGTGATTAAAATGGTCATGTTAAACAGAACCCATAAGAATGAAGATAATTGATAATCCTACAAGCTTTAGATGCACACCGGAAATTCAATCATATCATAATTAGAAGTTCATATCACATTTGTCATTATTATTATAACTAAACGTCTTGGTACAAACTTAAAAATAATTACTACTATTACAATGCATTAATCTCCCATAAAACTTATTCTTACTGTATAAACTTAAACAGATTTAATGTATATATTCTATACACTGTCAATAAATTAGATGATGTTACCTCATTAATGAGATGAACAAATGAAGAGAAAAAGATTAGTGTTTACCACCTGAGTTTACTTCAAGTGGTTTAACAAATTGGTCTCAGACTAAAAGATATATCCTAACTATAATCTGAGCCACACTAATCTCCTAAAAATGATTCAATGACAGTGATGAACAGGATGAACTATGAAGAGTAAAGATTATTAAGTCCTCGCCCGAACCAATGGTGAGTGAGGAATAGGGGAGTGAGGGGAAATCATGCGTGGAGACATGATACTCTCGTCGTATAACTTATTGGAAGAAAAGCTGAGGTGTAGATTTTTCTTTTGCCAACGTTTAGACTTCTTTGGTGCAACATCTTCTTCCTTACGCACAAATTTTCCAATTCTATCAAGTGCTATTTCAACGATCTCATCATCCATGTTTGCAAAGCAGACCCTGAACCAGCCAGGTTCCGAGCATCGGAAAGATAAACCTGGGGAAACATTGAGTTTCACTTCATTGACAATCACACGCCACAATTCCATTTCTCCCTCGACAGTTTGTTCTTTAAGGAGTGATCGCATGTCCATCCAGAAAAACAAACCAGCATTGCCTTTTAAACAAGAAATCCCTACTTGTTCGAGTCCGTCGGTGAAAACACGGTGCCTTTTGGCTAACCTTTGTGAGCTCTCCTTTAGGAAATTCTCAACAAACTCCTCGTCGGAAAGCATCGAAGCAAGCAAATATTGAGTTTGCGAGGAGACTAACCCGAAACTCGACATCTTGCGGGCACAATGCACAACTACATCATTGAACGAGTAAACAATGCCAACCCGGAAACCAGGAAATCCCATGTCCTTGGACAAGCTGTAAACAATGTGAATGAGATCACGGTTGCAATCCATATCTTGTATAATCTCAGCAACGCTAATGAATCTAGGAGAGCTGAAGACTGAAGCTGCATAGATTTCATCGCAAACAAGGTGGATGTTCTTTTCGTTAATGAAGCTGACTAAGCTCCTCATTGTCTCTCTGTCCAGGGTGGTGCCTAAAGGGTTTGAGGGGTTTGCTATGATCACGCCTTTAACATTGATGTTCAATCTTTGAGCCTTTTCATAGGCTTCTTCCAGGGCTGCTCTTGTTATACGAAAATTGTTTGAGCTATTGCAGTCAACCGGAACTATTTCCAACCCAGTGCGCCATCTTAGGTCCCGGAGAAATCTGCACGGTTTTCAAATAAAAACAAATCAATTAATGACTAAAACTGATATAGGAAAGATATTAGGAAAAGAAGAATATGAACACGGTTCACACGATATTTTTTAAAGGAAACCAATAGGAGAAGAGAATTAAGTTTTTAACACTCTTACTAAAGCTGGAAAGTAGAGAACGTTGAAAATTGTCCAAGGAACTAGTATGAGTATATCATAAAGTTTATATGAATTTTGAGGAATTATTGTCAAAGTAAAGGTCTACATTTTAGAATTTTCTGGAGGTCAAAGATCAATGAAAAAAGTCCAATTTATTAATTTATACATTTAATTTTCATAATAAATGACTAATACTAATAGATGCTATTAATTTTTTTAAATCACGCAATCTCACGGGCTTGACTTAACTTATTTGAATCAAATTATCAAAGCACGTTTGAATTGTTGTTGTTGTTGACTTTACAAGCCAAATTCTACTGTTGTAGATAAGGGAAATTATGGTCCCCTATCTTACAAACATTCTCTATAGTTGTTCATTAGAATTCAATTAGAGCATTAGGCCTTTTAAATTTTAACAAGCAAAGAAAATAATCATTTTTAGTTAAAATACATGGTTTTGCCTGTCTTTCTACATTTCCAAAATATTTTGCTCATTTACATGACAAAATTACCCTTTCTTTTGTATTCTTGAAACTTGAAATTTAAACATCCCTGACCCACAAAATGCATATCTAGAAGCAAAAGTCCGAGTGAGAGTCTTGTTCTATTTTGTATTGAAAAGTATAGTATTCTATGTTCGTGAAGTCAAAACTCATATTAATATTAAAAACCAAATGAAAATTATAATTTAAAAAAAAATAAAATGAAAGAAAGAGTACGTACGCTGGGTAATAAGGTGAAGGTACAAGAAAAGCGTCGCCTGGATCGGCCAAGCAAAACATGACCGTCTCGTTAGCTCCTGTGGCTCCGCCGCTCATGACTATACGGTTTGGATCAAATGTGACCCTGTTTCCTCCTACTCTTCCCATAAACTTAGCTACAGCCTGAAGAAGAAGAAGAAGAAGAAGAAGAAGAAGAAGTAATAATTGATCAGGGAAAATGTCACCATTATTTGTTCTTCGCTGCGTTAGAGGTTAAATGTTTTGAATATTTTCATACCTCTCTAAACTCTTTCAGGCCGTGATAATCCTGAAAGATGGAAATATCTTTGAACTTATCAACTCCTTCAGCAGTGCAGATGGAGGCTTGGGGGTTTTCCAGAATCCACTTTTTGATCAAGTCAAAGCAAAGCTGAGAAGAACAAAGAGTAAGAAGAAAATGGTTAGTTTTCACGGTAAAGCCAGATCATTGCAGTGAAATTCAGGTGGTTCCCAAATAAAGCAAAGTGGTGAAGGTTGGATAAACCAACCAACCTGATTCTCAGCTAGGCCCATTTGGATGACCCCATCAGGATTCTGAGTGCGGTGAAAAGGGTTGCTGTCATACGCTTTCCACCCTTCAAAATAAGGTGAATTCTCTCCATGTCGGTCGTTAGTGGCTATCCTAGACAAAAGCTGTCGATTCGTTGTTGCGAACTCCATTTGCTCCTACTATATTTTGCAATAGTGATGAGGGAATGTTTTATGGGAATCAGGGAAAGGTTTTGGGCTCCATAGCAATGTAATGTGGTGTATATTTATAGGATTACAATTTAAACTGAAGCAGGCCGAGGAAAGAACAACGAAGGATACGAATATTTTTCAAACTTTGGAACTAGACACATCAAATTAAAGTCAACTCAAGGAACACGAGAGAATTGATCAAGTAATCTTTTGGTCAAAGATAAAGCGTATATATAATTTTTTTAAGCCAAGTTCGTTAATTTTTTTTTAAATGATTTAATAAAAATTTTAAAATGATAAAATAATAAAATTTAATATCAATAAGATGTAATAAAAAAATGTTGTTTATAATTTAAATTTGAACAATATGTATAGACACCCCAATTCATCTTGGGTTTATTTATTTTTGTTAATTAAAAAATAAATAAAAAATAAAAAATAAATGGTTGAATTTGTGTTGGATTTAAGGTTAGAAGTAAGAATCTAAAAGGAATCAAAGTCTATTTTGGATTAAGAATTTATAGATTTTTAACCTTATAAATACAAACCCTAATCAAGTCTCAGGGAATATAGGAAACACATAAAAATCAAAGAGATATCACAAAGATCAAAGACACAGAAATAGAAAGATAAAAAAAATTCAATTGAAAGCAATGATTAGCAAAAAAAATCAAAAAGAAAATTTTAGAGATTTTTTTTGAAAAATTTTCAGATTTTGATGAAATTTTTTTATGAAACTTGCATTCTTTAGCAACATTTTCCAATTTCAGGCAACTTTTTTCAATTTTCGATGAAGCATTCAACCGAAATCCTGAGTTTCTAAAGCGAGAGGGAGAGAAAAAGAAAGAAGAAAGAGAGGGAAAAGGAAATCTGATAAAAAAACAAATTTTGGCTTTATGGCTAATCAAAACAGCGTCATTTTGAGGGTAAAGAAGCTTTTAGGATCCACGTGTTTTTACTCGGACCAACCCAACCCGCAGCACGACCCGAATTGGTAACCCATCTCTTTAACCTTGTGGTTGAGCCAAGCCGAGCAAATCCACTAGTCACTCCAGCTAGCTTTTGTGCCTACAGTCGAGTCGTAACACCGACTAAGCCAAGCTGATTTTCTTTTTTTTTGTATTTTCTTTTCATTTTCATTATTTATTTATTTATTTATCTTTATTTTTTAAATAACTTGGATGATTGGATTTTAGGAAAAATTAGATAAGACATTAATAAAATATTTTTTTAAGAATAAATAATAATTATCCAGTGATGAAATTTTTTAAAAATTTCAAATGATAAATTTTATAAGATTTTTAGGTGATAATTTTTTTTCTAAATTTGTCTCAAATGGTGTAATAATTTAGATAAAGTTTCAATAATAATAATTAATATTTTTTCAACTAAAAAAATAAAAAAATTTGTCATATTATTTTCTTTTCAAAGATAAAAAGTAAAAAATAAGAATTTCTAAATAAACTTGAATGGTGAAAAATTTAGAAATAAAAAAAATTTTCTATATTGGCCCAAATAGTGAAAATTTTAAATATAAAAATATAAATAAATTTCGAAAAAAAAATTCTTAGTAATCGCAAATAGTTGATTATCTAAAAAAATTTTTAGGTGAAAAGATATTTCTAATTTGGCCCACATTGTAGAATAATTAGATATATTTTTAATAAAAAATCAAAATAAAAATGATTAAACATTTTTTCGATAACAGAGCCTCTTCAAGAAAACAAATGAGATTTCTGAATACTCTTAAAGTAATGAAGTATTTTTTAATAATTCTTTCAGATTAATGAAAAAATATTAAAAAATTATTTTCAATATTTAAACATTAAAATTAAAGCCATTAGAATTGAAACTTTAGGATTAAATTAAAATGAAATGATACCATTTTTAGGATGGGCGTTTATGGGAGTGTTATAACCTTCCTCACACATAATCGAACTTTCAAACCTAATTCTGTTCAAAAGATCAAAACTTATTCTTTAGGGACCTTCAGTCAAGCTTAGGAGTTTTTTAAAAAGATAGATTCCTAAGGTGGCCAATCATACCTAGAAAAAAAATTGGTAGCAACTCCATTTGTTAAGTTTAGATATAGATTTTATGATTTATATGTTATGACAATTTAGTGACTCCACTGAAAATTCTATAGAGAGTCAGGCCATAACAATTTTAAATGTATCATATCCTTGGGTCTAAGGGTTTTAAGATGTAATGATATGTTATTTGTTTGTTTACTAACATTTATTTATCTTGTATTTTATTTATGGGGATGAAAATTATATATTCTTTCACACACACTATCACATGCATTCTCATTACATAAGCTCTATACCCAAGCTACATCCTTCTTACGAAAGAATAAAATACCTACGCTCTCGTCAAATAAAAATCTTCATAATAACTAGTGAAATACTCTCACTCAAATTGAATCATTTTCGTTGGTAACCTATGATGATTGAGGATTGAAATAGCTTATCAGTCTATGATTGACAATGATGTAAGAAATAATTTAAGAACTTTTAGTGGTCAAAGTCATCGAGCCCTACATATAATCTATACTTAAGAGGCCAACCCAAAGATAGATTCCTTCCCATCCACTTATAGATATAACCCAAAAATAGGACATAAGAAAGAACAGTTTGTGATCTAACTGTTTTGTTTGTTTGACTTTGTATATTTACATTACCATATCATACATCATTTTCATTGTCATTGTGCATTTGCATCATTTCCATATGAGGAATATTTACCACATGTTAAATCTCATCTATGAAAATGTATATTACATTCATGCATAAAAAATATGGAACATAAAGCATAGCATTTCTAATAATGACGTAATTATAGTACTCAAGGTTCAAGAATAGCTCCACTAACTAAAAATCTTACCCAATCAACTCATCAATATAATACAAAAGCTCGAGCCAGATAAATCAAACAAAAAAATTTCAATCATCTTAAGAGGATAGAAAAAGCTCAAGAAAAGCTAGAAGGAGAATTGAGTAAGATTTTGGATGCTTTGAATAAGTTAAACAAAGAAAAAAAATACTAGCAAGCAGAATTATCCATAACAAAAGGTGGATGATTTTCTGTACCATTCTAATTTTAGATCGCATCAAGCTCAATCCACATAAGACCTACCACTACAGTAATTCACATATCCTGTAAGGTATACATATTTTGGAATGCCATTACTTTAAACCCAAGACAGTATCAGAGTTATGTAAATCTTATCTTTACTAAAAAAGTAGTAGAACCAATACCAATCCCCAACTTAGATGATTTAAAAGAGAAAAAAAAGTTGAGACCTAAAGAGAAAGAAACTTTAAAAGTCTTAAAAACTAAACAAAAGATGAACTTGTTAGAGAAAAAGTTACGAGCCATAGAAAAAATTGATTTTTATGGTTCTGTAGATACTGTTAGGCTTTGTTTAATCCTAAATATCATTATTTCTCTAAAGTTAAAGGCTTCAAAGTTTGAAAAGTATGATGGTACAAAGTGCCCAAAGACCTATATTACTATATACTATCAAAAAATGGTTGTCCATGCTAATAATAAAAAACTATTAAAGCATATTTTTTAAGGTAACCTTATGGGCTCTGTTGCTATATGGTATGTGCAGATAGACAGGACATGCATTTAATCCTGGAGTAATATGACTCGTGACTTTATTAGTCAATATCAGCATGTCATAAACTTAGCCCCTGATAGCTTATATTTGCAAAATATAAAAAAGAAGGTGATTGAATCATTCAAAAAATATATCTAGAGATGGAGGGACATAACTACTCAAGTATAATCTATTTTGACTAAGAAAGATATCATAGCATTATTTATTAGTACTTTAAAATCTTCTTATTATGAAAAAATGATAGGGAATACAATAAAGAATTTCGCTGACATGGTGATCTCAGGTGAAATCATTGAGAATGCCATTAAAAATGATAAGTTGAAAGAAAGAAAAATAAAAAAGGCACCAAAAAATAAAAAGGCTGAAGTTCAAACCGTGAGCTTTGATAGACAGTTCAGAAGTTATCAACTTTATCTACCACAAGCTTATTTCCCATATTACCCTGCAGTAAACAATACCTTACCCTACCTATATCAGCCTTCTCTACAACTATCTTACTCACCGACATACTAGCTCGTTTTCAGCCTCTAAGCTCCCATGTATAGTCCTAGCATTAAACCTCTTACAAGAGCTTAAATTCGTCTTGTTAATTTAACAAGTGGTTCACAAGAGTTACGAACTACCCGAGAAAAATTTATATTTGATCAAATCCCCATGACTTATATGAAATTATACCAAAAGCTTTATAATAATCATTTGATTGCCCCTAATCATCTGGAGCCACTTAAACTACCATATCCTAAGTGGTATGATCCTACAGTCTACTGTGATTATCATTATGGAATTGTCGATCATTTTATTAAAAATTACATTACTCTAAAGCATAAGGTGCTATGATTGATCAAGAATAGAATGATAAATTTTGATACAAAAGGGATAACCACGCCTAATGTTAATGGCAATCCATTGCCCAATCACGATGTCAATGCTTTGAGTGAAGGTAAAAAACAAGTATGATCTGAAAAGACTTGGAGAGCTACAATGAATCAGGGGGTCAAATGTCAATAAAATCCTTCATTTAATTGCATTAGGGCACAATTTTAGAAAGAAAAAAGATGTTAAGGCTGGTTGGATATTGCTTGTCATTCTAGGTTTTCTTTCAAAGTAATGTTAGAAACTCTTTTATGCAATAAGATTTCATTTTTTATCATTTTAATAAAAGGCAAAGATAATACATTTCATTACATTTTCTCTTTCATCCTAGCCATTATTTTGTGCTTTATTATTTGTCACATCTTTTTATTTTCATTCTCGATGATGAATGTTTAGATAATGATAATAATAATTTTGAAATTTAATTTTGAAAACTCATTCACATTGATTTAAGGAGACTATTTAAGCAAGAAAAAAAGTAAGTTGTTGGCATATGTGAAATAGATATGCTTTGAAGATATGTAGTTCTTTATAAAG